AAAGCTAAACTCCACGGGACATGAAGTCCCGTGGAGTTACAGGCCGTATTTTCCATAGAGTAACTCTCTGGAAAATAAGACTGGAATTTCACGGGACTTCAAGTCCCGTGAAGTTTCGTAGTTAAAATATGAAGTCCCGTGAAGTTACGCAGCTTAATTAAATGACTGCTAAACTTCACGGGACTTCAAGTCCCGTAAAGTTTTAAAGTTTTTTTTGCCAAAACCGACCCAGTTTCAGCCACTCGGTCGGTTTTGGCAATTATTTGTAGAATAGGTCGTCTTTTGCGAATATTTTTGTAAATGGGTCGGTTTTAAAAATTTATCACAAAATCAATCTTAGCCCTCAACTTTCGCGAATCCCATCAACAAAGATCAAAACAAGGCCCTCTCCTCTTTGTTAATATACTCTCTCGACTTCCCGTTACATCGCCGGTAAGATTCCGTCGTGATAGCAAACGTTGGAGCTTCTTGATCTCCGATCCTCACTTCATCGGCTTATATCTCAAGGAAAGGACTAAAGAGATACTACCATGCATGAATCGCTTAAGACACAATACTTCAAGCATCCATGAAGCACGTGATTAATGTATTATTATTTTGAATTTGAAAGCACATTATAGTTATATGTATTATTATTTCTGCTGTTTAAATTGTTTCTTTCTTTTGGCAAGCTGGGTGATTTGTACCATGTAAATTTCTAACAATCATAGAAACCGTGAAACAAACAAGTTGGGTATGTCTGTAATAAAATCAAGTTTTCTTAAAATGCACTGAGGTAGGAATTTGACCATTTTAGATGTGTTCATGGGCTGTATACGTTCACCATTTTCTACAGCAGCACAAGATTTGTGTTGATATTACATGTGCAGTTCTAACTGATGTAGAGTCATAAAATTGTAGAACAATACTAATAAGGAGATGCCAAATTTACTCAAATAATAATAATAATAATAATAATAGTAGTAGTAGTAGTAGTAGTAAGATGCAAGTTTTGAATGTGGGGTTATGAAATCTAACTCCCTGTTACTTGGTAATTATAAAGATATTAATTGTTTTAAGTTTGGTCTGTGATTCTTCCAGTTCCTGGCTTCTTTCATGCCCGGAAAAATATTCAAGATCCTTGATACTAAATCTTGGTTGCTGGCTTCACAGGCTCTTAGGGTCCTATTGACGCGCATGATTTGGCGTTGGGTTATTCTTTATGGGGTGGATTTAACTTGGGAGCGATGATATATGCATATAATGTGAGGAAACGGCTAAAATACCAAATTGGTATTTTTATACGAACCATTTTGCCAGTTTGATATTTTTAAAAACTCCGGCGACGATAAGACATTTAATCTCGTACATTTTGTCAATAAGACACTTTTCTCAAAATTTCGGCGAGAAAATTTGCTTTTAACCCCTTATCTCCCAAAATTATTAAATTTATACCCAAAATTATCACAAAAATATTTCATCCCCTCCCTCCCCCTCCTCCTCCTCCTCCTCCTCCTCGTCGACATCCTCCTCCTCTCCAATTCCCCTCTCCTCCCCTCCTCAGCCCTCCAGCTCCCTCTTCCCCGTCCTCCAGCTCTTCCACGAAGCCCCCCACCCCCAACCTCGCCTGCTACAACTCCGTCGTCTCGTCCTGCCTACATGTTGGGCGCCTCGGCCTCGCCTGCAGGCTCTTCCACGTGATTCCGGAGAGGAACATGCTCACCTGGACCTGCATGATCGATGACCTGAGTCTTTTGATAGATGCGCTCAATTGCTCGAGTCTGTTTCAGTCAGAGAATACAAAAGACAGCCCGAGAGATTGAAGTCAATCCAAGAAGAGGATGGTTTGTAGGATATTAAGCCCACTTTATGTTCTCACTTCATGTTTTGAAGAAGAGGAAGCAATCAGTCCAGCAAAGTATGCTCGGTTACGAGGTAAAGTATTTGCATTACATATCAAACATTCTGAAGACCCATTCCCACTTAATTCTTCTCTCATTTCTTATATATTTCGCTTAATCCTTAGCAGATGCTGAGCTGAAATCTAGCCACATCCCTCTTGAGGCTAAGTTTAATTACATGAGAGATGTCCTAGATAAATCTGGATTTTGTGGAGGAGCAGAAAAATTCCTTGAAAACATTATGGATGCATCGTAGATCTCTACGCACGGACTGGACCAACAACATACTTGGCCTCTGTTGGGTGGCATCCGCTTTTGTTGAAAATGAAGGCTAAAGAGCTTTCGATGGGAGCTCAAAAATGGGCAGAGCCGTAGTTGTTGACATGGGGAGCCGCTGCAGCCACATTTGTGGACGAAGAGAGAAAGGGGAGCCGAATGATTTGACCAAAGGGGGAGGGGGGGGTTGAAGCCTATAAAGCCCCCTCCCCTCTCTTCCTCTGATTATCCCAATCAAATCCATCAGAAGCTTGAGAAATAATTAGTCTTAAGCAGAGTTTAGAGAGTGATTAGGATTTGGTATTTGGGCAATTTTGTGTGAGAGATTGAGAGTAGAGGAAAAATCAAGAATTATTTGTTTGTGAGATCATTGAGTGGTTGTAATATCTATTTGTATTCTCCCTCTCTATTAGTGAGATCTACCCCTCATTGCCCAATGGATATAGGCATATTGTCGAACCACGTAAATTTGGTGTCTTGCCTACTGTAGTACTTGTTTTTTATCTTGTTTGTGATTTTTCGGTTCCGCTACGCACAACAAGTGGTATCAGAGCTTCGGGTTGGCTTGGGGTTCGATTTGGAGTATTGAAAGAAAAAGCTAGGGTTTTTACAAGGGATTTCATCTTCCAAGGAGTGGTGAAGAAATCAATTGGAGGATTCGGTGCGGATTCTCGTTTGGAGGTACAAACCCTAATTTTGCTCTGTTTTAATTCAAGTTGTAGTTGTGTAATTTGGAGATTAGATTGAAAATGACCGAAGCAAGTACATCGGGATCGTCCTTGACTAAGGCGATACAAGGGTTGAGCATTAATAATACAAAAACTGATGTTCAAAAATTTGATGGCAAGATAAATTTTAGATTGTGGAGATGCCAAGTGATGGATACATTAGATGCCCAAAATTTGAAGGAGACTCTTGAATTACAAGAGAAACCCACTGATATGGAGGAAAATATTTGGAAGAAAATAAATAGTAGAGCATGTGGGGTTATTAGATCATGTTTGACGTCGGATTTGATTTATGATGTAATGAATGAAACATCGGCGAAACGGTTGTCGAAAACACTCAATGAGAAGTATTTGACGAAGAGCATTGAGAATAGGCTTTATTTAAAGAAGAGGTTTTACCAATTCAAAATGAAGAGAGTAGTTTCTATTAGAGAACATGTTAATAATTTTACAAAATTGCTATCAGATATAGCCAATGTGGATATCATGGTAGAGGATGAAGACAATGCGATGTTGTTATTATGTTCATTGCCAGAGGATGATTATGGTAATTTTATCCTTACAATGATTAATGGTAGAACCACTGTCAGTTATAAGGAGGTGACCTCAGTATTGATTAATTATGAGTTGAGGAAGAGTGATAGTGAATCATCTGAGAAGGCATCGGGAGATGCATTGGCAGTGAGAGATTATAGTCCAAATCACCATCCATTTAATCACTCAAAATTGAAGCTAAGAGGGGCACATCCTGCAGTTGATAGGAAGCAGTGTGCTTTTTGTAAAGAGAATGGATATTGAAAAGTCGAATGTCCAAAGTTGATAGATCGAGTCGGGAAGAATAAGGAAAAAATTGTACAAGCTTCAGAGATGAATGTTGTCAAGTCTAGTGGAAACAATTTAGATTCGGATTCTTCAGGCCACTTGTTAACACTACCATCAGTTTGTGTTGCCGACTCTACAGAGTAGATGTTGGATTCAGGGGCTTCATACCATATTTGCTTTAGGATGGATTGGTTCTCTAGCTTTCAAGAGTTAGAAAGAGGGGATGTTATGCTCATGGGTAATGATCACAAATGCCCTATTAGTGGTATTGGTATTGTTCATATTCGGATGAGTGACAGGGTGATTTGGAAGTTGGTTGAAGTGAGGTTCGTTCCTTAATTGAAGAAGAACATCATTTCACTTGGAGTATTGGAGGCAGCAGGTTATAGGGTAACCTTGGTGGATACACATTTGAAGGTCACATTGGGGTCTATTATTATAATGAACGGCGTCAGGAAGAAGAATTTGTATTATTTGATTGGGAGCACGGTGATTGGTAGAGAGCTGGCGA